ATCTCCTTGTTTAATTCGCACTAAGTTATATGCTCCTCTTAAGTCAAGTTTAGTAAAAATACTCGAGCCCTTTAGTCTGTCAAAGAGTTCAGTAATCAAAGGAATAGGGTAAGCATTTCTGATAGTAATTTTGTTCAATCCCCGATAGTCTATACAAGGACGTAAGGTACCGTCTTTCTTTTCTACAAAAAAGAAACCCGCCCCCGCCGGAGAAGAAGACTTTCTAATAAATCCCTTGTCTAAATTCTCCTTGATATATTCCTCTAAAACTAAGTTTTCCTTGGTGGATAGAGGGTATACCGTACCCCTGGGAGGCATAGTACCAGGGAAAAGTTTAATAGAACAGTCATAAGACCGGTGGGGAGGTAAAGTATCCGCCTTACCCTTGTCAAATACAGATTTGAGGTCTAGATATTGTAATGGTATCTGAACGTCTGTGGATTGAGAAGTGTTAGCATAAGAGTTTACGGGGCAAACAGAAGTAACTCTCTGCAGACATTCTTCCCTACAACCCATACCCCAAGAAACGATTTCTCCACCCTCCCAGTCAATCTGAGGGTTGTGTCTCTTGAGCCAAGAATATCCTAGAACCACTGGGACTGCCGGGGAGGAAATTAACAGAAGGGAAATCAACTCTTCGTGGAAAATACCAACAGTAAGCTTAACGGGTTCGGTCTCATGGAATATTACTGGTTCAGATAAAGGTCTACCATCTATGGCCTCAACGGCCAAGGGTGTATCTCTCAATTGGAATGGGATACAATGCTTATTAGCGAAAGTTTGGTCTATAAAGCTTTCTGCTGCTCCAGAATCTAATAATGCCATCGTAGCAATAAACCCCTTTTCCCAAGCTAGAGAGACAGGAATCAGAAGCCTATGGTCTTTTTTATTATGCATAGAGGACAGTAATGAAACACCCAAGGCCCGTCCTCTAAGGGAACTTAGGTGCGAGCGTTTCCCGGACGATTAGGGCAACTAAGACGTAAGTGACCTCTCAGCCCGCAGTATAAACAGAGACCCTCCCTTCTCCTGTACTGTCTCTCAGCCTCAGATAAGCGAGTATTACCTATTTGCATAGGTTCTGGTGGAGTAGGATTATAGGAGTCAGGGTTCTGAAATGAGGGAGCGAGTCTTACAGGAAGTCTAGTAACTCTTTCCCGAGTGTTCTGCCTCTGTCTCATGCGTTCATCTATTCTGGAAATGAAGGATATTAAATCCTCTAAATTTTCCGGAAGTTCTCTTGTGGCAATTTCATCTAAAATTTCATCAGACAACCCATTCAAGAAAACATCCATAAAAGCTTGTTCGTTCCATTTCACTTCTGCTGCCAATGATCTAAACTCTAGAGCATATTCTACAAGGGTCCTATCTTGTTGTTTAAGGCGTAACAGGGATCTGGCCGCATTAATCTTCCTCCCTGGGGGGTCAAAGGTTCTTCTAAAAGCCGTGACAAACGCAGTGTAGTTGTAGACTAAAGGATTGTCATTCTCCCAAAGGGGATTGGCCCATCTAAGTGCTTTATCTATTAGCAGGGTTATAATAAAGCCTACCTTAGCCCTGTCAGTGGGGTAAGCCCGGGGTTGTAGTTCGAAATGTATACTTATCTGGTTTAAAAAACCACGACAAGCATCAGGCGAACCCCCATATCGTAATGGTGACGTGACATGGGAAGATGCGCCTACAGTGGCTACTTCCAAACCAGTACTTAGCGAGTGGCTAGCAGTGGAACGTATTTCTTCAGACTGGGTACTGGAGCGTGTCAACAAAGTTTGTAGCGCTAAAGCCATTTGGTCCATTCTATGGTCCATGGCCTCAAATCTGGGGTCAGGAGGACTAGCACCTGCAGGATCCATCAGGCCCTGTCGTAATGTCAGGAAACTGACAGGGATCCAATACGCAGAGTGCGCACAGAAGGAGGTACGTATACCGGACCTTAGAATGGCCGGACTAACGTAAGGACAAGCAAGAATAGTCAAAAGGTAAGCCGAGGTCAAGGGAGCCGGAGGACAGGTAAGCGAGATACAAGCCGAGTCAAAGGAGAGGAGAGGACAACAGGACAAAAGACAAGCAAGGGTCAAAACCGGAAACACAAGATAAAGAACGCGCTGAGTGACTAGCAAGCTAGAACCACGACAGGGCAATGAGCAGTAGTAAAGGTTTCCTTTAAATACCCTGTACCTAAATAGAGACCACGCCCCCAAAAGGTCCGGAATAGCGGTTCCCGGCACTTTATGCAAATGCCGACGTCATGACGTCGACGCTAGCCGTCGCGTCATAAAAGGGGGAGGAGCTAGCGCGGCCGGCGCGAAAACGGCCGGAATATGCCGAAATGCTAAGGGAAGGGAGCCCCTAAGCAGAGAGGATGTCCTCCCTGGATACATCACCAACAGGTACCCTGACACTATGCTACCCAAGAATCTGTTAAAAGAGCTGCACTAGCTAAACCAACATTCTTTGAAAACATATGCCTGGCCGAACGCTACCAAAAGGGATTGATCTCCCTCTTGTACTCCCATCTCTGCTCCACTACACGGGACTGGGGCGCCCTCCACTACACAGACAAGTGGGAAACCGACCTTGGGGAAACATTAGAGGGGATAGACTGGCAGGACATATGGCAGGCCACTGCTAAAACCTCTATTTGCGTCACGATGCAAGAGCAGGCCTACAAAACGATGTTCAGGTGGTATACCACCCCTGTTCAGCTATACCACATGAAAAAAACACCCACAGACCTCTGTTGGCGCAATTGCGGGGAGAGAGGGACATATACCCATATGTGGTGGCACTGCCCTAAGATTAAAATTTACTGGACGGCCATTCAAACCCTCATGACCCAAATATTTGATAGGCCAGTGACACTGAACCCATGGACGTTCCTACTGGCCAGACCTCAGGAGAATTGGTCTAAACCAAACCAGCATCTGTTTAACAAAATAACCTTAGCGGCCAGGAGAGCGATAGCCCAGATCTGGCTACAGCAGGACACCCCCTCAGTAGCAATAGTGATTAACAAAATCAAAGAATGCCACTTAATGGACAAACTCACGGCCCAAATTAGGGACACAACCAAAGCTTTTACTAAGACGTGGGAACCGTGGGAGACCTATAATGACCAGTAAGACCAATAAAGACCATGTAGCAGAAAGGAGTCGCAAACGCGAACGATGGACTGCAGTAACCCCCCCCCACCCCTTGCCCCCCCCACTCTACCTCAACTTCTCTCCCCCCACCCGGACTACGACCGTTTGGACCGAGATGACCGGTATCCCGGCCCACAGTTCAGTTATTTTGTTTTTCTGTACACACTGTTCTTGTTGAAACAATAATACCAACAACAACAACGGATGAAAGTAGAGATGTTAAAACTCTTCATATGTACCTGGCATGTGTATGTACTATTGAAACGCTCTTGCACGAGCCAAACCCTTTGCATTGTCTACTCCATACCGTTGCAAAAATAAAGAATTTAAAAAAAAAAAAAAAAAATGGGGGCGAAGGCATCAAAAAGCTGAGCAATTTGGCAAACTCAGAATATATCTGTTCGAGTGCTCGGTCACGCCGCTGAAACCAATATTCACAATAGTCTATTTATTATTAAAGAGAAGTTCCTGGAGGAAGTGGTGGGAAGATGCGGTGCACAGGGCCGGAAGCTTGCTGCAGACTGCCTCTCTCCTGGAAGGAAGCAGGAAACATGCGCTTTCTGTATCAGGGAACTGATGGAACTACAACAACAACTGAAAACTGCCTAAAAAAGTGTTATCCCATCACAAAGCTTCTTAATACATAGTGTCAGAGATGCCCCACTTCATAGTGTGACATTATCCATTCTTTATGTGACTTGTTTATTCAGTTCATGGAATTAACTCATTATTGCTCAGACATTATATACAGACAACACGCGCAGTCATCGTGCAAAGTGGTTTATTGACGCAGGATGGTGAGATATGGGTCGAGGAGCCAGGTAACTGTCTCTGGATCATGCATAGACAAGTGGAGGTGTTCTAGCTGTTGCTGAAACTCTGCTCACATGATCATAAGGCAGCCATGGCTTTGCTTGTATCCAAGCAAGGCTGAGCCTTAGCATGTCTCCAGCTGTTGATAGATAACGGCTTTCCTGACGCAGAGACCGGCGAAATATCTCAGTCAATCAAAGTAGCTGCCATTATTATTACTGACATTGGCCTCAATTTATACTTGTTTGATAACCTTTTCAAATGATTTAATATATTTAAATAAACTTTTACATTTATTTTTTCAAAACGTTAAATTATCAAAAATATATAATACACGATAAATCAAGAGATATCAAAATATTACAAATACGAAAATATTTTAATTTTATTAAATCATCTTAAAAGTTTATATTAAATAATTTAAAAAAAAACATTTTTAAATCAAGGCCGTAGTTACAATCCATGCTGACACGCTTGTTGCTACAACATATCATTAATGTAATTTTTTGTCAGAAACAATCAACAAATTTAGTAGTTTAATGTATAGATTTTTCAGTGGATCAGACTTGTAGTTAGAAGGCTTTGTAAAGAACGTTACACGGATACTGTCTCAGTGCTGCTCCCGGGTTGATCACTTTGAAATAACTTCATTCATTCAAATTAAATTTCCAATTTCTGGCCAAGTAGCTGAACTGGAAGAATAGCTGTCCTAGAGAATGTTACCAGTTTGGGCTATTTTGATCTCAGAGGAACACTATAGGGTCAGTGAACACTACAGGGAGCCTATAGTGTTAAAACCACCATTTAGGTGGCTTACCCCTTTTAGCCCCCTTAATAGGGGTTAAAACTCACCATATTTCCAGCGCTGGGCGGGTCCACCAGCGCTGGCCCCATCCCTGATCCGTCTCATTGGTGACATCATCAGAATTTATGATTTTTAGCCAATCCAATGCTTTCCCATTTCTGAGCGCAACGCGGTCATGTCTGTCTTGTAAACAAGTAAATTCCGGTGGCATTTGCGCCCTATGTATTTTTTATGCTGCACTATTTTAACCTCACTAGTTCCTGTGAAAAAAGGCTTGTTTTGTACAACTGCTATTTTGTTGTACTACTGACACAACAAGTTACACACTGACTTCACAAGGGTGCGTACAGAGTACCAATGAGCACTCGATGGGCTACGAGGAGCTGGCGACAAAGACCATTGAGAGTTCCATGTGTAACCAGATCTTCTACTTGTCCTTTCAAAATGGGTGGAATCATTTTTGTCAGAAAGAAACCGGGAGCTGCTTCATCTATATTGGCCCAAAATACAGCATTACGCTTCTACCGTGAGCCTCAAAATATTGGGCCATAAGCAACTGCCCAGTTAACCTGTGGAAGTATTGGCTCTGCTTGTCATCAGGAACTATCAGTTAATGTTTATGATTTAGCTAGTCAGATTGCACACACCTTTCCTATTATTAACAGTGTTTAGCAATTCGTTTCTGCACAGCCTCAATTTACAAGTTTGCAAGTGGCCCGTCCTTTTCTCTGAAATCTTTCGCTCACTAAAAAAAAAAAAAAAAATCCAGGTCAGGCACAGCACGTCTACTCTGGTCTCGTTTTGTTCCTCGATTATGTCAGGATTTCTTACCTAGCATCAAATTTCTACCTTATAATAAAGGTTGCTGAGAAGCTGGCTAGATTGAGCCAGCCTATCGGGCTCCCTTACTGTGTTAAACAGCATTAAATTAGATCCTAATGAAGGGTTTTTGTGGTCCAACATTAAAGCTTTGTCTGTGTCAGTACGAAACCAATTCATTGAGTTATTTGTGCGAGTTGTCAGAGGGACACTAAGCACTCTTCATTTCAAGGCAGAAAAGGGGAGTATCGACAATTGATCCAAAATGCTGAGATTTTTTTTCTTTCTATCAGCCTACATAATGTCACATCAGTAATACAATGTATTCATATTTAATTGGCGGGTCAAACATTTCAAACATATGATTATCTTTTGGCACGCATATGAAGTTGGGGTGGTAGTACATTAGAACAAATAGCAGGGAAGGCAAAATTAAATAAGAGTGCTTTCCTTTTTTAATTTTTTTTTTTAACCTAACCAAAAATGTTCACGTCTCTGTCTGTTAGACTCACGGCTGGATCTCAGCCCAGAGCAGGGCCCTCTTTAATGCCATTTATATTGTACTGTCTATTTCCCCAATTGTACTGCGCTGTGGAATATGTTGGTGCTTTATAAATGCAAATATTATTTTTTACATTTTTTTATATAAAATATATATGAGCATATTACCTTAACTCTGAGCTGACTGCAGATTTACACAGTTTGTGACAAAATGCAGAGTACGGAACACTTCCTATAAGGAGGCTGATCCTGTAAATTTAACCCTTCAATGTAAAATATTGCTGTGTTGCAGAAACGGCAGTGAGTATCTGGAAGGGTTAAACACGCCTCTAGTCGGTGTCAAAACTCTGTCATATGATGCAGAATAGGATATACAACGCTTTCCTCTGAGAAGACTTGGGTATTGAGTAATAAAAATATTTTATAATTTTTATTGAAAAAAGGGGTGTGGGGGAGGTGAACAAGGTTTGTATTCCTAACACCATAGAGTTGCTTTAAGTAGGTACGTTAGAAATGGTCTCCATGTTGGACCATGTTATAAAATCATGTGTTAATTATCCATATTCTGTTAGTGGACAGGGGTCCTACATTAAAGGATTTTAATAAATTAATTATCACCTAAAAACATTATTAGAACACATGGCTGTGCCATCAAATGGGGTAAATTGGTTAAAAAAAACTATTGCACAGTAATAAAGTAACGTAATGTGTGCTGGGAATAGAGCTCACATACCATATCTAAATGTATGTTTTAAAAAAGTCCCCACCTTCTTCCCCAATGTGATGGAGACATCCTGGGACATAGGGAAGAGTCAAATGAAGACGTTTTAAAGAATTATTGTTTACATATATATTGTAATGGCATTGAAGAATGATAGTCCAGAACCTCTACATTGATAGTCCAGAACCTCTACACTGATAGTCCAGAACCTCCACACTGATAGTCCAGAACCTCTACACTGATAGTCCAGAACCTCTACAATGATAGTCCAGAACCTCCACAATGATTCCACTCTAGTAGTCCAGAACTTCTACAGTGACAGTTCTCAGTAGTTTAAACCATGTACTGCCGACCAGCCCATCCAGAAACACCTCAGGATGGTAAGGATCTGAATACCTTTCTAAGGTACACCTGAGCCTTATTCAGAGAGGTGAACAGGTTCATGTGTTACTGCAGTTCCATCATAAAGGGCTCGCTGAACAGAAGTCTCGTGGCTAAGGGTATGAGCTATTTGGAGGCAAGGTAAGATAACTTTGAGCTAATCCATAGAAGCGCCACTCTCGACCGATCTGTACATAAAGCTGCATTTGAATTTTCCAGCAGAGCGAGCGTTGGGCCCATTCACCAATGCAGAAAGGGTCCAGGGAAAAACCTCAAGCCATGGCATTATTGGCCATATATAGTATCTTGGCATTAGGGTCTATAACATTCAAGAGCTTATCCTGGGCCCCATGGAAGCCCTTGTAAATCCCATTCTGTGGGTCACATCCTATACAGGACATAAATATTACTACTGTGGAGTCAAACACAGGCGTCATGGCTACCTTATCCTGGAGAATGGGCCTAGAACATTCCGGTCAGAGGCAGATGCACACTTCATATTCCAGGTGTTCCCACAGCCAGAAGTGGACATAATGGGCCAAGTGATCTGGTAAGACCCATTCTGAGGAACATCAATGTTGAATATTCCATGGATCAAAGAAAGAATGCTAACTTGTGTCCAGGAAAATCATCTCACCAGTGAGAGAAGAAGATTGTGATCTGCCATGTGCATTTGTGTCATCAACCACTGATTCCTAAACATATGGGAAATTCTTGTAGTACACTTCATCCCAAGTTGGTTCCCCTTCTGAAGCAAAGTGGTCAAATTTCCTCCATTTGTCAACGACCAACAAGGGTGGAGAGGTATCATTGTCATCCTCTGAAACGTGGGTAGGAGGTGGGACGGAATCCAAATCCTACACCAGTTTTAGGAACCCTTCTAATGGCTAGCTGAAGTGGTCGGGCTGCATTCTAATCATTCGGATTTCAACCTCTTCTCTACCTCCCTTGACAAGTCCTGAGCTTTCCGTAGAACTCAATTCAAAGGGAGTCGCATGAGCACATTGGACAGTGCCTTCTCCACTGACGCAGCAACTGCTGCATTAATCATTAATCAACTGCCTGAAATACCTGCAGCTGATCCACAGAATCCTCCATGACCCAAAAATGGGGTTACACAAAGAAGGATGACAACCTGTTTCAGAGAAGTGTAAAGTATGTTAATATTATGCAGTGGCACCTCGTAATCACTATAGAGGCTCGCCATCCTGGCAGCAGAACTGGGGTTCACCCAGAAGTAACCAATTCAGGGTCAGGATAGTCGATAGCCCAACCACCGGGGAGAGGGGAGGAAGTAAAAAAGGGGGCTCACCCCTGGTAGACACTCTTAGTGAATGTATACCAATAACAATTCGGAAAGGAGCACCCTGCACTGAGTTAACAGTTAAGGGCTAAGTAGCGTACAACATAGATATGTGACAAGTGGCATGTGTCAATGTGTACAGTCCCTGCAAGCTCCCCAGAGCCCAGGTAGCTCAATGGAAAGAAAAATGGAGCGGCAGTACAACAAAGTTTGGCACCGTTTATAGGAAGAGAAAGGAAACAAGAGAGGGAATGATAACGCACACTGTAAAGAGAGTTCAAAGCCTCCTGTGATGGGGTAAAATTGTGACATTTGTCAGTATTTAAATCCAAATCGAACTTCTATTCTACCACAATGAAGGCACGGCACAAAATTAGCTCACTTAAATTTGCATTTACAACAGTCTGATGTATATAATTAAAATAAAAAAGAAGGCCTTAATGGAAGCAGCCATCTTGTTTTTTCTGTTTTTTTCTAACTGTAAGTGCTATTATGATAAGATGAAATTAAACCGATTGCAGTGCTTAGCTGATAACTGTGTATGTAGAGACAAATAAAAAAGTAGTTTTTTTTGTAACGGTGGAGTCTGATAAACCTTCGAAACAATATTTCTAAATTTAAATTGAGCTATTTTTTTTCAGCAAATTAACAAAATACTACTAATTGTAGAAAATGTGAAAAGTGGTTTTTTTTTTGTTTTTTTGTGTTGTTTTTTTAATGGAGACCATTTACTTTAAACGGAAAGTCCTGTGACCTGTGCTGAAATTAACTAGAATTATACCGTGTGCTGGCAATATATGTATAAATTTAGACATCACTGGAAGGAATTAGGAAAGAACCCGTTACACTGAGTAGTGTTCATTTAAATGGACTATTAAATCCCAGACAATGTAAAACCTAAATTGCAATGCGTGGAGTGTTTTTTTAAGTGGGGGGAAGGGTCTATTTTAGTCAAAATGTTGCAAATTAATTTTCACTTTACTTCAATTTAGTGTTTAGTTGAATAGTCCCTTACTTGTTTCCAGTAGCAATAGGTGTCCTGTTAGTAAATTCGTTTTAAATAAATAGACCAGATACTCTTGAATAATTTTATTTCCATAAAACTCTAATCCCAAAATCTCTCATAAAATCAGTTCAATAAATGTTCCACATCATCTATAGATCCGATGAATACATGTTTAACTCCAGAAGTATAATATCTAAATAGAATTTCCGTTGTTTTATTGGAATACCATGTTAAAGCGTCTCTGTAATGGGCATATGTCCGTTTATTTATTTTTTATAACTTTTTTTGGGGGTTCATTTCCTTCCATATCCATCCTTCTAGCAATCCACCCATTTGTTTTGTCATTCTCTGTTATTCTTTTTTAATATGCTCTTTGTTTAACATGCTGGATCTCTTTCCTATCCAGAGACATTTTTAGTAGCTTGGCAGTGGCAGTGACATTCAGGGCCGCCACCAGAAGTTTTGGGGCCCCTAACTCAGCTCAGGGCCTTGGCCCTCTGGGGCTCGCCTCCAAATACCGCCCACAGGAATTCACACACAGGCACAAACACACACACACTGATACAAAAGGACACAGATACATACTTACAGACACACATACTGAAACAGACAAACACGCATACAGACTTACATACTGACACACACATACTGAGACATACACACATATACAGACACAGGCATACATAGTGACAGACAGACACATACTAACATACATACAGACACACATGCATGAGGACATAAAGACACACTGACATACATACAGACACCGACATACATACACATATACAGACATACATACATTTATACATACAGACATACTGACAGACATACAGACACTGACATCCATACACACATACATTCATAATGGCATACAGACACACACAGACATATATTCATAATGGCATACAGACATACATACATACACTCAGACTGACATACATGCATATATACAGACATACTGACAGACATACATACTTACATACTGACATACATGCATACAGACATCCATACACACATACACACAGACATACGTTCATAATGATATGCAGACATACATTCATACTGACATACATATATACATACAGATATACATTGATACTGGCATAGATACATACAGACAGACATACATTCATATATACATACATACAGACATACATTCATGTATACATACATACAGACATACATGCATACATATATACATACAGATATACATTGATACTGGCATAGATACATACATACAGACATACATTCATATATACATACATACAGACATACATGCATACATATATACATACAGACATACATTGATACTGGCATACATACATACAGTCAGACATACAGACATATATACATACATATATAGACATACTGACAGACATACACAATGACATACATTGATAAATGCATACATACATGCATACAGACATACATAGACATGCATACATACAGACATACATAGACATGCATACATACATAGACATACAGACATGCATACATACAGACATGCATACAGACATACATATAGAGTCAGACATGCATACAGACATACATAGACATGCATACAGACATACATACAGACATGCATACAGACATACATATAGAGTCAGACATGCATACAGACATACATAGACATGCATACAGACATACATACAGACATGCATACAGACATACATATAGAGTCAGACATGCATACAGACATACATAGACATGCATACAGACATACATACAGACATGCATAGAAATACAGACACACACACACAAAGCTAATTTTTCAGCCACCCTCCTGTCTCTTACCTTTGCAGGAGGATGGCTGGGGCTGATGGGAGTAGTTGGCATGGCTCTCCCTCACTGCCGGGCGTGCGCTTCCTCCCAGCTGCACTTGCTGCGGCTGCGTTTTTTTTTTTTAAGGGGCCCGGTCGCGCTATTACACGACCACAGCGCTGACTGGGCCCCTGAAGATACAGGGCCCATCGGGTGGCCCTAAGTGCGTGGGCCACCCAATAGGCCCCATCAGCGTGCGGGCCCCGGTGCAAGTGCACCAGCGGCAGTTCCGCCGCTACACGTGGGTTATGGTTGTCACCCCCTGATGGTGGCCCTGGTGACATTTGCTCACTCCATTCTTCTTCCTCCCTGGATTCCGATCTTGCGCATGCGCAGTAATTCCATCTCGTTACTACATTTCCAAGATCAAGACTCAGTGAGATTGTACAGGGAATGTGCGACAAACAGTGGAAGCCATACATGACATTGGAGCAGAGGTAAGTACGCTGGGAAGATTTTTCTTGACGAACGAAGCAGAGGTTTCTTTAAGCATCACAGTTTGTCAAGTATTACCAAGTTAACCGTGCAAACAAGGTAAAATACATCTTTGATATTAAGATGCATTTTGCTTTTTTTTCAAATCGTAAATGTTGTAAGTTTAGAAATATTTTATAAAATAGATCATTAAAAAATCTTCATTTGAGAAATCTGTAAATACAGGTTAATTTCTGTAGTTTATAGAATTAAAGTTATTTGTTAAGATAAAGATTAAAAAAATGGTGTCAATACAATGACAATTTCTTGCGTGTCTAATGGCAGCTACGTGGCTGAAAATGATTTACTTCCAAATAAACGTAAGACTTAACTAGATTTTATGTTTCTGTTTTCAGGTGTACAAATAAGATATTATGGCCTCCTTTTAATTCTTTCTATTAAAAGCTATGGGATTTTTTGTACATAAATCATATGAAAACATTTTCCAACAGAATGTGATCATTTGAAAAGCGTATCCAAAAATATTAAACTGAGGCCTATATCAGCAATCGTAAAACCGAAATATCACAAGAAATGTATTAAATCTCTACTGGAGCAAGTTTTGCAGTTCTGCAGGAGCAAATCATACGCTGGGGTAACTGCTTGTGTTTTCCGTTCCCCCATGTATAAAGTAAGGCCATTTTTAAAGAGTTGTGTAAGTGTTCCATAGAGACACATTTTTTTTATATTTATTGTATTTCGACATTGAACTATTTTAGGTGTTGGTTTTTCCCCCCTATCTCTGTGTGTTTGGAGTTCTGGTACCGTCTGTTCTACTGCTGTGGTTATTGTGGTATAACCGCCGTATCCAGCTGCCACAGAGGCACCTCGCATTACTGCTCTCATTGCAGTTACTTGCAGATAGTGTAAACCTGATAGAAATCCTGTGCTATTTTATTAAAGAAACTGTAAGCCTGTTTTATTTTTCTGTCATTTGAGTAAAATTGCTGCAAGAGCACTTACCTACTTTACCTGCAGGAGTTACGGCTGGCAGTCAGAGTTTGTCGAACGTCAGCAAAGCAAGCAGCTCGGGAAGGCTACAATAATTCTAGAGGAGAATAGTTAAAGAGACATAGGATTCTCTATAGGACATAAAGCACTCAATGACCAGGTGTGCCAGAGGCTATAGCGTAATTTCTTTTAAATTCTATTCAGATCCCAGCTGTAGCAGCAGGTAGTTAACAGAAGACCAAGAAGTTCAGAAAGCACTAGGAGATATGAGGTTTTATTTTAAAATATATTAAAAGACACTCCTTGTGCGGTTATATTTGGACGCAGGTTCATATTCATGTCTGATATCGCAGTACTTTGCCGTGCTGTAATGACACTGTGCGTTGATGAACACACACCTGGAGCGTGGCAGGTGGACATTACGTGGAAACCGTTCCAGTAGGAGGAACGTGGTGTAGAACACTGGTGGGTTTGGTTTGCAGCCAGCTAACCTGTGGGAATAATGGCAGATAAATATGGGAATAAGGACTAGCTAATGGGTGGTCTAATGGGCACAATAACACGTCGTAATATTTGGTATCTATATGGAAAGAAGAAGAAGGGATGGACCTCAGACTCCTGGGCACCCAGGTGGATGTCAAACTGAAAACCATTTAATCCATAACACTGGGAAGGCACCAGGCCACTCATGGTACTTACAGTTTTAGTGGATTGCATCAGCTTTGCTTTAGTAGATTACTCTTGCACATTGGACCAGGCTACAGTGATATGACTCAATGTTTTATATAAATAAGTGCTATCTTCTAGCATTAAACCTTGAGAGGATCGAGATCCTAACATCCGATAGCACAATAACCACCCATGTATATACCCACCAGAGTTGCTGATTTTTGTAACACAATTGATTAAGAATTGATGATTGAGAACCATCAAGGAACTTGAAGCCATCATGTTGATTGTCTACATGCGGTATTTAGAAAGCTGTTTGCAACTTCCTTTCAGAATTAAGATAGAATCTCGGAGATCAGGGAAGTCCTCTGTCACGCTTACTATTTACAAATATTCTGTGTTCAGAGTTTTTATGGCAAAACAAATATTAGTTTTTCTGCTTATATAAAAATTAAGACTTATCGGCTAGCATTTCTATTTATCGCCAAATCACAACGCACCTACCTTCTCTGTTCTTTTCTCTTAGTACTTGTCTCATATCTCTCCCTCTCCTCGAGTCTCTATGAAAATAGGAGGGTGAGGAGATAGCCTCGGTTTTCATGCGCCTCCCTGAAATCCTAGGAGCTCTGGCAGCTGCGTACCGGGTTATGCTGAGCAGCTGTGTTTGGACTTACATATCAAAAACAATAAAAACCTTAATTCAGCAATAATTAATCTGGAAATGTAACTTATTCACCAATCCTGGTTTTATCCTTCAGCCAATGGTAGTGATATACCATTCTCTAATGACTCAATGACTTATTGTAAGCTGATGTAATACTGGCTGTGCTGGGGTGCACCTACCACCAGACCTATGTTCCAGGGACGATGGAGTGTTTACTTCTGAAAACAGGGAAAAGGATAATACAGCCCACCATTCCACATGCTGTGAATCTCCCATGATGCTATGAGAGCTCAAAAACTGATTGAGTGTGAATTGGGAAGTTCTCACTTCATTCCCTATTGTGTTAAGTAAAGCAGACCGAGGATGTGATATGGTGAATCGCGCCTTTAGGTCTTGTTTAATGTTAATATGAAGACAAATCTCTCACTCCCTCACTCTTGGCTGTAAGTAATTTTGATTTCAGACTGTGGTCCCTTGATCCTGTCAGCACAGGGTGAATTGAATGTATGATCTGATGGACTCCAGAATAGGTCCCACTACTGGAAATGGGGTTTAGGCTCTCCATGGATGTATTGGCCCCAAGCTGTGACCTTTAAAAGGTGGAGTATCAGCTTGATGCCCATAAGGAACCCTAGCGCCCTGCAAGAAAGTAGGTTTCAGTCATGACCCCGTACATGGTTGGCAATCATACTCTCATCTTAGCTGCTCTTACCTGACTGGTAGACAGGCTCCAAATTGAGTCTTAATCCCCATGTGTCCTAGTCTGGCCCTCCTTAATGTTTGTCCGCAATACCTTCAGCTGTAAACCTACAAAGCAGAGAGTCAGTGATCCAATTGAAACAGTATGCTAAAACATAGAATGTTACAATAATACACAAAATCTAATCAACACCATAATTACAGCTCATTATTTTGACAGCTGGTTAAAAAATACTTTATATGACAATATCAGGAAAAAAAAACATTAGTAGAAAAACACATTTTCATATATACAGACTTTTAGCATTTTCATATATACAGACTTTTAGCATAAAACATACATGTTAAGGGGATCCGTCAGGCTAAACCGGACTCCATTTTTATCCTTCCACGACAGTGGGTACATCATCAATCATTGTTCCAAAGAACTCAGCAAGAATGCAAAGCAAGTGACACCCCAGCCTTGAGATCACTGGCAAAACGCTGACCCTACCCCCTCAGGGGTCAGAACATTTTTTTATCTGAGCTCTCAGACCAACCCACATACAGCTGAAACAGTCTGCAGACAGAGACAGCTTTAGTAACTGTGAGTCTGTCTCCACTCCAATCCCACCCCACTCAGTGATCAGGAGTAACAGGAAGCCTTGAATGTAAGAGCCTACCCTCGTCTCCTCTACTTGCACCTAAACCTGTCCCCCCTTTAGCTATTTCTAACCCATTATCAGCCTATTATAAATGCAATGTCCATTCAAACTACATTTCAAACCACCCCAAATCTCTCATTTGAAATTCACGTTGAATTCCCAACGGTTCGCACTGATAGAAAATAAAGTTTTTCCCCTGGTGATACGTTGCAGTACCAAAGCTGAAAATGTTGCCTAAGTGCTCTGCAAATCTCTGATTCACATTAATTGTTTGGTTTAAGTTACACACCCCACCAAAAAAGTGCACAAAAATAAAAACGTGTTTAAAGGTGTCTGTGCCCTGAAACAGATACAGATCTATGACTGTGCCATGTGTCATTTAGTGAGACTCAAATTCTAGGTCCACAGGATCAGTGCCCTATATCAGGTGTTCTCGACACCGCCTTTAAGTAACCCCCAACTGTGTTAGTTGTAAGGGGATCCAAGTAAGAGCACAGATGGATCTGTCATCAGCTGAGGTCAAGCTGTCAAAAGGACACCCCAATTATCCACTATTACGTACATCAACATATTTAATTTGTCATGGAATTCCTGCTTATCTCTATCTTACATTGAGCTTATTATGAAAGAATGTATCTTGTGTTACTTGTTAATTATAATAAATCCTTTGTTTTAGTACAGTTTAAATAGATTTATTCTAATACAAACGAAAGATGGATATTACATAGTGACCCACACAGCAGTCATTATTTTGAAGGGGAAAGAAGTTGGGTTAGCCAATCTCTAATTACAGAAAACAGAGTAAAATATTGGGGAACTTTGCTGTATCACACGTTCCCTCTAACCCTTTTTTTCTGCTATACCTCTATAGAAATGAACTGATACACCAAAAGGGTTAGTCTCCTGCATCCATATGCCTTCTAACTTGCAAATCAAAGGATGTTAATTACCTGGAATCAAGAGTTGGGTGAATCTTCCAGCCCTCTTCGACGTCACTGGGTCAGCTTTCCTAAGGCAGGAGATTGCTACGTCTGTTGTTAGCGTGCAGTGTGAGCTAATGACAGCCCCTAAATATGCACAGAATTGACATTGACAGCTTGGAACAGTTTTGATAGACAGGTCACGAAAGCAGAGAGCACAGATTGTGTTATACATTTTCACATATATGGAAGACACAAGTAACCAGCTTTATCATTAATGTTCATGCGAGAATATTTCACTAAAACACTGCGTGATTTCAAGGTGAATTTCAAACTTTAGACCACGATATATAAAACTCAAAGCCTACCTGACTTGGAGAATTCTTCCAGTTTGGCTGTCATGCATTACATTTGACATTTACTTTGAATTCTTGACAATTCCCACTATTGTAATTATCCCAGCACGCGTTAAAGCCTCTGTCCCATAGTTTCTTTACTGTTCTGTAGAGTTAATGCATTAAGCAGAGCAAGACCTTACACGCTGCATGATCTATAGAGATCCCTGCTTAAATACTGCTGACAGCCTTCCTCTGCCAGGAAGGAGTATATACTAAGAGTCTGTCGAGGTTGGCGTAAACTCCCCCTTTTTACACCATGAGCTGGCTATGCATTACAAGAGTTGGAGTTCACCAGCTATAAGTGATTAACGATGGCTCCTCATGCTGTCTTCAGTGGGTGCAAGATGTACAAACTGTATATATTTTAATCTATTACGCCCGGCGTGACTTGGGCTAAGTCAGTGTATGAGAATTGCTCCAAGCTCTAGTAACTTGCCACCAAGTCTGCCCTACTATTTCCCCCCCCCCCCCCCCCCACACTCCCAAAACTATTTGAAATACTTTACATTTACATCCATACATCATTTCTCACTGAGTTCCAGGATTTAGCTGGGATTAGGAATCTAGAATGTTAGTCATCCCCTCTTGTAACGGACCACCTGGCACCCCGACTGGGTACCTCCGTTGAAGGATGCTCCTAGCGCTTCCTGAGGACTCCAAGCATTCTGGCAGACACCACAATCACCGAACCGTAGGAGCGTATACCTTCTCATATGAATGCTATAAACAGCTGAATAGGCTAAAACCATACGGATGGGTTTAGACTCCTAGCAGTCAAACTGGAACAGCATACAACAAATCCTCCCCCAATAATGAGACGACACTTCACTTTAAGGGTTAAGCAGGAACTGACTGGACTGGCACATACAGCCTCTTTTATTCCCAATCCACAAACTTAGTACTGCCCACAGGGTTTTACAGAACAACCAATAACACACGTACATTACAGAAAGACACTCCCACACAAAATCCTCCCCTCGGCCTGTGATACAATTACCTTACACAATGGGTAATCTAATTATCACAGACAGAGAAATACAGTTTCATAAAACACATCACAGGGACCCCAAAACATGCAATAACCCCATAGTATATCCTTGGAACCAGGGGATCTGGGTGAACCACATATCCAAAATTCACCCAGATCCGTTCAGTACTTTGGAAGATACAGTTTAATGCAGATTCTGCAGAACATACACAGGCTAAATGAAAAACAATCACTGTATAATGTGTGCCCTGCTGTATAGTCCAAAACAACTGCACAATGTCTCTGTGCACCAAATACTGGCGAGATGGCACCGTGTTGAAAAGTCCAAACAGTGTCTGTGAGTTAAAATGGCCGCCATCCATTGTTCTCACCATGTGCTTCATCCATTGTTCTCACCATGTGCCTCTGATACAGGAAATGGTGGCCACCAGTAACTCCACAGTATGTCCCCAGATGGTTCTTAAAGGGCCAGCAGCAGCACAACACAAATCCCTTATGCCCAAGTCATGTCTTTAAAGGGCAATACATCCCAGGGGCCATAGTCACATGGCAGGAGGCTGGCAATCAGTCTTCTCCAATGCCCAGGGGCGAGGTCGGATTCGCCACACCTCTGAATCCCACAATGGTCCCATAACAAAGTCACTATTTGCTGTGAAGATCTAAGGCGAAACCTTCACCCTGCGGCATTTGCTCACTGTGCCTAGAAAACTATTTACCTCTGATCTGGACCCAAAGGGACTCTGTGGTTTTGATTTGAGACTCACACAGGGCCGGACTGACCACTCGAGCCGATATGTCATGGACTGAGGGCCCGAGGCAGTCAGGGGCCCAGATGAACAGCCTTCCTCTGGTTCTCCCCAGCCAGAAAAACATAAATCCTCACATATTGCAGCGATAGGTTCCTGGAACCCATCGCACTGTAGGTTACTCCCAGTTTCTGAGTGAGACCTGACAGCGAGTACTCCCCACCTTCTGAGTGAGACCTGGCAGCGAGTACTCCCACCTTCTGAGTGAGACTTGGCAGAGAGTACTCCCCACCTTCTGAGTGAAACCTGGCAGCGAGTACTCCCCACCTTCTGAGTGAGACCTGGCAGCGAGTACTCCCACCTTCTGAGTGAGACTTGGCAGAGAGTACTCCCCACCTTCTGAGTGAAACCTGGCAGCGAGTACTCCCCACCTTCTGAGTGAGACCTGGCAGCGAGTACTCCCACCTTCTGAGTGAGACCTGGCAGCGAGTACTCCCACCTTCTGAGTGAGACTTGGCAGAGAGTACTCCCACCTTCTGAGTGAGACCTGGCCTCTTTCCCTCCCCGCACCCGCCTCGGCCTCTATCCCTCCCGCACCCACCTCAGCCTCTATCCCTCC